AAATACATAAATTATTAAACTTTATAAAATTTTACACAAAATAGTAACTTGCAGTTGTTACTGAATGATAAGTCTCCTTTTTGGTAATATTTTTACGGTATAAAATTAAAACCTTTAACCGCATTAAACAACCTATAATTATCACGAATATACCTTACTTCACCCTATTGAGTTCTTCCAAAAATTTTTTTTTAAATTCCACTTTATTTGCAATTTGTTAAAAAACACAACAACAAAATGGTTTTTGATAATAAGGCCATGGAAAAAAATACACAGGTGCATTTTTTGTCATTAAAAAAATAAAGGATATGTTGCGAGACACAATAAAACACATCAAATTATAGTTTATCTTAAAAAAAAGTCTTAAGTTGGATGTAAGGTTGTCAAATGTGTGTTGGGTATAATTTACGTAAAAGTTGTTTACCATTTAACTGATTTGCCACGAATGTCTTATGTAAATGATCCAACGTTGACTGACAGTCTACCTTTTCATAGACTATAAAATGGCAATATAAAGTAACTAAAATGTTTTAACTGCAATAATTATTATAAACGTTTTTATAATACCATGTAAACAAAACAATTTTTGAAAGTATAAACCAAAAAAAGTAACTGATCTAAAAGAGTTATGTTGCAGGAAATAATAAAAAATGTGACCTTTTTGGCAACGTCCAAAAACAAAATAGACAAGGCGAAAAGCCCGAGTTCGTTCAGGAAAATATTCTCATGAGATTTTCTTGCGCAATCACTTTGATAAGTTACCCCAAAATAAGATTCAAGAGATCGCCAAGGCGAAAAGTTGTTCCAAATTTTTTTACACAATTTTTTTTAAACAAATTGTAACAATACATTTTTTCGACATAGAACAAACGTTTTTCTTAATTGGTTTGGATCATTCTGAACAAAATAGATCTCTTCTAGTTTTTCTGCAAACTTGATCGTTTTCGAGGTATAAATCATTTAAAACTGGGAAAAACGCAAATTACAATTTATCAAGGCTCAAAACACAAGTAAAAAACATTATTTTTGAATTCACCAACAAACATTGATTTTAATTGTTAATGAAGCGCTTATGACAGGACGGGCTCTCGGGCTGCGGCGTGTAAAAGAGAGAGAAACAAGATCTAGAAAGGCAAACAAAAAGAATGTTAGAAACAACAGAGATGAACGCTATGAAACATTCATAGTAAAACACTATTGGACACAGCTAGAAGTACATATATACGACATAGATGCAAGATGGAGAACATCAACGACTAGGTAAGAAATACAAGAGTAGAATGGAATGATCATATAAGTAGAATAACAAATAGAGTAATAAATACGGCAAGAGATGGTTCCCCAATAGCAAGACGATCAGTAGGAAGACCACGAAAACGATAGAACAACAACTTACTGGAGGCACATTGAAAAACAGACAGAGTCGTATCTACATAAAAGAAGAAGAAGAAGAAGAAAAAAGAAGAAGTACTATTTTGCCACAACAAGATCCCATTGTCAATCTCTTCAATTCAAAAAAGATCTCAAATTCATTCTGTATAAGACTAGTTGATAAGTCTGAACTAATCCAAACAATCAATAGTATCAAACGTGGATAAGGCAGTAGCATTACCATGTAGAGGAGCTCTTAACCTTGCTTCTTTAATAGCCAGATCGTACCGTCGTCTGAAATTTTTGATTTTTAGACGACCTTAATGGTCTCTTCATATCGATTTGTTAAGTAAGAAATTAGCCTCAGCCTGCTATGCAATAAGATCATTTTCGAAGGAATTCAATTTGGCATCTTCCAAAATAACATATTTTTCTTTGTTTGAGTCTCATCTTCGATATGGTCTTCCTTTTTGGGGTTTTAGTACAGCTGCCCAATCTAGATAAAATAGCAATACGATATCTGTTTGGCCTCAGAAGAACAATATATTGCAGAAGCCACTTAAAAAATCACGGGATTTTAACCCTTCCTTTTAGAAACTGTGTTTAATTCGTAAACACCTACTTGTTTTTCCAGCTAAACCTAATCATGACTACTCTACCAGAAATTCAACGTTTGATGTTTATTTACCGATCGCATCCACTGAGTTGGTAAAGAAACCTAACAATAAAACACTGAAAACTTTTGTTTTCAACAGTTCCACAAAATTTATTATAATTTATAAGATATCACTACAGCTGTTTTGATCGATTTTTCTCAAGATCGATTTTTGTATCGTACTATTTCGACAGCGAGTGCGTTCGGTAACAAATGAAAGTGAAGGATTGCTCTTTCGTCGATAGGAGTTCACATCGTGTAATTAGTGCTAGATTTCTGACAGTGTTGTCAATTATTTACTTTTGTATTTGGAGTGGCCCTATATTATAAACTATTATTTATATTTATTAAAATGGCAAGTGTATTAAAAGGCAAACCTTTGGGACCTCAAGCATGAGAAATAATTTTCAATGTTTCTAAGTTTACAACCGAAGAAGCTAATGTAGATAAGTCTTAATTGATTTAAAAAAGATACAAGAACGTGTAGCTCAATTAACTGGTAATTATAATACTCATTTTCAAAATAAATTCAGATTTAAATAATTTAATTTAAGTTACAATCAATAAAATTATATTCAATAAATAAATAAAAACTTACAGAACAAAAAAATACCAGTAAATAATAAGTAAACAATGGATCAGTTAATTAGTACTTTACAGTTCACTATTATTGATAAAACAACGTATATCTGTAGCGACAAGCTAATTATTTTAAAAATTAAATAACAGTTCTTCATGTTAAAATTTACATTATCGCAATTGGTTATACACATGTAAAATAGAAATGATATAAAAATTGAAATGTGTTTTTCCAATATGTTTATTTACTACAGATATGCTGGACACTTTAATTGTACATTTGAATACGTTGCATTTTTCATAAATGAGAAACGAAATATATTATGATATTGTAAGCAATAACATCACAAGATAAAAGGCCGATAATACTTCAGTTTACCGTCTGGCTTAGAAAAATAAACAAAGAACGTGTGTTCGCTCGTGTTCTGTTTAGTTTAGTAATCATTAAGACACACAAGTTGCATCAGTCCGCCATACATACAAAAATACCTTCCCTTCGAGAATTAATTACGTTTTATGAAAATAAATATTATTATCAAATTTTTTCTACTTTCTATTCAATATTATTATTATTTTTATTTTATTTTCATGGCAAATAAGTTTATCACACACGCAATGACACAACCACGGAATATATAATCTATTAACGTAATTTTCAGATCCCAACTAAATTTTTAATACGGCAACTACGCATTTGTGACACCCGCGATTAAGTACCTCTCCTTTCTCTCTTAGAATAATTCCTTTTCTATTTTCGCGCAGCTAACCCGTCAGCTCTCGCTTGTCGGTAGCTGCGGTGACGACGAAAATAGAAAAGGAATTATTCTAAGAGAGATAGGAGAGGTACTTAATCGCGGGTGTCACAAATGCGTAGTTGCCGTATCAAAAATTTAGTAGGGATCTGAAAATTACGTTAATAGATATGTTCCGTGGTTGTGTCATTGCGTGTGTAATAAACTTATTTACCACGAAAACAAAATAAAATTAATAATAATATTAAATAAAACGTAGAAACAATTTATTAATAATATTTATTTTCATATAACGTAATTAATTCTCGAAGGGAAGGTATTTTTGTATGTATCGCGGACTGATGTAACTTGTGTGTCTATGATTACTAAACACTAGACTAAACACAACACAGAACACATTCCTTGTTTATTATTCTAAACCAGACGGTAAACTCAAGTATTATAGGCCTTTTATCTTGTGATGTTATTGCTTACAATATCATATTTCGTTTCCCATTTATGAAAAATGGAACGTATTCAAATGTATAATTAAAGTGTCCAGCATCTCTGTAGTAAATAACTGTAATGGACTTTAACGATCCATGTTTACTTTTTTTGTATTTTTTGTCGTAAGTTTTTTTATTTTGATATTTTATTGATGACTAAATTAAATTATTAATCAATTTTTGAAATGAGTTTATATTAGCAGTATTGAGACACTCTTGTACTTTTTAATCAATTAGCTTTATCTCATAGCTTTCGGTTGTAAACTTACAAACATTGAAAATTATTTCTCGTGCTTGAGATCCCAAAGGTTTGCCTTTTAATACATTTGTCATTTTAATAAATATAAATAATAGTTTATAATATAGGGCCACTCCAAATACAAAAGTAAATAATTGACAACACTGTCAGAAATCTAGCACGAATTACACGATGTGAACTCCTAGCCGACTGCAATAGAAATGAGCAATCCCTTCCACTTTTCAATTTGTTCTACGCGCAACCCGCCAGCTCTCACATTTTTGGATAATAATATTCTTTAACTGAATAAGCTGAGGAGGGGAGAACTGTTTGCCTCAAGTTGATCGTTCAGAATTATTAATGATAATAATGATTTATAGCAATGCCACGCTAGGATGAAATAATCACTCCCACAGATAAGACTACATAAAAAGGCTGTAAAAAAAATGAACGAAAAAAAAGACAAAAATAAAATACAAATATAAAATGCACAGAAAGCAGAAAAGACATTTTTAAACGGCTAAAATTCAAAATGACAAAAAATAAAGTCTTAGAAAATGAACGAAAGAAAAAATGTTGGCAAAAATATGTTATGGCAAATTACAAAAGGCATTATAAACTTTACCAAAACAGAAAATGCCAATGGAAGAGAATGAAAGAATTTGGCGTTAAATTTTCTTACAAAATCGCTAATACATGGATAATTTATTTTTCCTCCCCATATGAAATCTTTTTTTGGAAGGTCATGTTTGTTTTAAGGATAGGTCATTACAAGTTACATAATATATTCAGTAGTGAAACTAACTTCTAAATCTAAGTCCGATTTATAACGTTTTGTAGTGTACATTAAAATTTCTCACGGCATTTGAGACTAAACCTAAGTAATGTTGATATTATTGGCAGACTAAGCAATTACTTACTGGCACGTATTGCACCACAATTATATCTGGAATGTCTTCTGCGGTTGTTGGTATGATTGACGTAAAATTCCACGTTTGGGTGGAATTACCTTCATCCACTTCTGGTATTTCTGTTGTCGATAGTGGAACAGGAATCGGTATCTCTGGATTGTAATCAACCTGAAATAACAATCATCAGGTAAACCGTGAAGTTTTGTAATTTCCTAGTTATATAATTTTGTTGTTATGTGTTTTTATGGATGTTGCATAACATATTAATTGCATAATTCTTCTAAAAAGATATATTGCATATTTATTTCATTTTCTTTGAATTAGAATAAAATTGGATACTAATGTGAATATTCTTAAAATATTTTTTAGTGCCCTATCCTCTAGAGTAATTAATGGAAAATTCGCATACATTAGGGACACATAGAGGATGCCGGGATGGTTCTAGATTACCTATATTTATTGCATCTCTGAATATGTATCACGAAGATATATGGTGATTTTTTTACCCATTTTGCTCATTTCTTTAATTATTCATCCCTTACAAACAAAAAATGTAAAGAGACAACGAGAAGTATATGCTTAATGTCAAAAAGAAATATTGTAAAACAAAAAACAAAATATAAATTTACATATTTAATAAAATTTACTATTTTCCAAACGTAACATTATTAAGACGTTAGAAAAATTACAATCAAGTAAACAACGTCTAATATATAATGGTATATTTTTGTTATAAAGTTAAAATTAATCAAACGGATTAAAACATTTCAGAATGTTTTTGGTCTTATAGTAAGGTCTAATAACCCTTAGATTAAATATATAAATTCTTAAATTTTAGAATTGATGTGACACGAGGTCGATATATTTCACTTTAAGGGAACATACTGATCCCAACTCGAAATAAGGACCTTAGTGTCTAAAGAAAGATACCAACCTATTGTTGGCTGGTATCTATCTACTATATTTAATAAATTTAACATCTAATGGGTATTGTTATGTCTTTATTAATTCTAATTTATTGTTCTTATTTTAATTTACTAAAACACGATAAATTATATGAATTTATTAAACCACTATACAACAATTTATTTTTGCCTAATAATTACATAATTTATTTATAGATGCGTTACATTTTAAAACGCGACTCGATTTATCCTCTGTCACTGCTGTTTCTAAAAAGGTCCCGTTATATACCCATACAGATGTTAGGACTGAAGGTTACGGCCTGGTTTCTCATTCAATCTATTTCCGGAACCTTCGAATGGACCGGTTTTTTATTTGTTACTTGGAATTTCTGCCAGCTAGTCGAAGGGTCGTAAAATCTAGAACATATTAGTGAATAAACAACATATTTACAGGTTTTTCACATGACTCATATTTTTTTACGTTACAGTATAGATAAGAAAGGCATGAGATAGGGTTGCATTATCTCCCTACCTTTGTTAAACATGTGTGTAGAAAAGATATTTTGGTGTGCAGAATAGAACGGAAATGGTATTAGAATAAATAATAGTGAAATCAATAAACGATATAGTTATAATAGCAGACAATATAGAGAAACGGAAGAGATAATAAATACCGTTAATAGAGTGGGAGAGGAGTATGGAATTTATATCAACATACAATGAATTTACATAACAAATATAATAAAAAAATTCTAGGAAATTTGAATGATAGGTTGACAAAATTTTTTTTGAAAGAAATTATGAAAGCAAAGTGTGGCTGGTGGAAAGATTGGATGTGCATGGTAGAAAAATTTGGTATTGGAGTACGGTGTGAATGGGAATGGAGAGATAGCTGGCCTAGTATGATTGGGAGTATGATAGAATAAAATAAGGAGGAGATACAGTGTCAAGTTGAGAATAGGGCGCTCGAATCAAATTTTTGTGGACCCTAAAAGAACTGCGAGGAGAAGGAGTAAACATGCATCATCTACTCGAAATAGAAAATGTTGGGGATAATCGATGGCTGTTCAAATTAAGATGTGAAGTTTTATATTTGAATGATCGACCTGGCAGAAAAGGTTTTGCTCAATATGTAACACGAAGGAAAGGGAAGCTGTGATACATTCTTTGGGAAAATGTTCGGTGTTAAGGCAGATTATGTTAAAGTGGTTGGGAAGAAATGAACTTAGTAGAGTGAAAGTAGTTACTATGATAAGATAATGACAGGCTGAGTTAGTAAGTTATTGTAGTGAAACATGGCGGTATAGGTATTAGTTAGTGAGCATATTTAGAAAATATTAAGATTAGTATTAATAATTTGTTTACATAGTGCCCTTAATTATTTATCTGTCTTGTCTATCTTGTCTATCTTGTTATTATTTTTATACAAACAGTTTTTACTCTACTAAACTAAATACTTAGAATTTATGTGTTGAAAATATGGCAGTAGATAGTAGTAGGAAATAAGTTAATTTTCATAGAATTGGAATCTTTATCATGCAAAAATGCTTATTATAATCCTGTTCAGAATATTTTGCGTTTTCATAAAATATAATCAATACTTCCATACTCGTAATTTATGTAATGAATATGGTATTAGGTAGTTTTCGAAAGGGAAGATCATGTGTAAATGTGGTAATTGTCCTTCGCCAGTTGGTTGAGAAATCGATCAGATATGTATAATAGACTAGCCTACTTATGCTTCATAGATTTAACAAAAGGATTAATTTAATTATCAATTATTGATTAACAGTAAGCTAACCAGATATATCCCCAAATATTCCTACCAAGGAGAAAGTAGATTCCTGAGTCTTCGTGTAATTTCATCATGGACGAGATAATAATAAGATGGAGATTCGAGGTATAAGATGAATAAATGTGGTATTGCGTAAGGTGAGGTAGTATAAGGCAAAACGATTCACTTATTTCTACCGAAAGACGATAAAGATAATAATAGAATTAATAAAGTTCTGAAGTTATCTTCTTGTGCCATTTTAAAGTAATTACTATTTAAATGGGAATAAGCTACAATTAAAGGTTAAAGTACGTTTATTGACGTTTAAATTTCCACTTCGGAAATCGTTCTCAAAATACAAACATTAGTAAATTAAACAAATTTTGTTTTTTTTTACTTGGTGAAAAAATTCTTCTAATAATTTAATTTGATCTGACTCATTTATATTGACAATTCAGACATACATTATAGATTTTAAAGTAGACGACTTTAAAATGATATTGACAATATTGTTAAGTTGCGTTCCTGGGACGACTTTACTTATAAGATAGTTCATTCGATTACATGAAATCAACATTAACTTGAGAATATCCGTCAGAAAAAAAATCATAACATGTTATTCGTCTTTAAAAAGACAAACACACTCTCCTGATGACTAAACCTCTCCTGTTGGTGATTCCATAGTAAATTATGAGGAAAAACAGGAAAAAAACGAAACTTTAAAAAATGACGACTCCATAAACATTCTACCAACAGACAAGGGAATGCAACTATGATAATGGATAAAATTCAATATCAAAACAATATTAAAGATTTAATAATAAATGGACCTTATACAAAATTAACAAAGGATGCAACAAAGCCTTTGGAAAACAGAATATATAGAACTTTATTCAAGTTTAAAGATCGTTTAAAAAGTTATCAGAGTAGATTAATTACACCTCATTGCAGTAAGACCCTTCATTTTTATAGAGTACCGAAAGTTCATAAAATGAATATACCACTTAAGACCCCATTTGTAGTACCATGAATTCTCATTGCAACAATTTGCAAATAAAAATGACACATTTATTATTTGCAAATGGTTTATTAAATGATGGTGTATTAAATGACGTAAACAGTTTATTTACGAATGTGCCATTAGATAAGACTTTAAATATAGTCAAGACAAAATTAGAGAGTGATGATAATGGATTGATTCAAATATAGTCCTAAAAGAAATGGATGTTAAAAAGAGAAAAATTAAAGAAACGGCTCTAATTATGCTAAATGAGACCAATTGTGTCGCAAATTCCTCAGCAAAATGTAGTAAGATCTGTTTACCCATATTAAACCACTGACATGCGGTATGCCATACCGAGCCGAAAATATATTTTGTTTGTAAAACGTGTTTTAATAAAAGATTCTTAGAACACCATCTGTGTACCTTCAAGTGGGGTTTAGTTGTTCCTGCTCTCAACTGCTGCAGTTTTAGTACACGTTTAGTCTTTGAGCTACGTTGACATAAAGTTTTCTTGCGGTATCAAGTACCGCATGTCAGTATTTACGTTTCTATAGTTAAAAGCATGTAGCGTATTCTTTTGCTGTTAGTATGGCAGCAAGTTCATCCAGTTGTTCTAAATTTAGCCGCAAAACTGTAAAGCTCTCAGATGATGATTTTGAGGCTGTTTTATCTCAATGGGCTGACGAATGTACCTAGTGATTTAGAATATTTTAGTGATAGTGATGTTGACGATGCAAGCGAAGAAGTATGTATTGAAAGTTCACACGACACCGGAAGTGAGCAGTCGAAATGTTCTGAAGACGAATATCATTTAAGTGATAATGGTAAGTCATATTTTTATGGCAAAAATCGTTTTAAGTGGTCTACTACAACACTCTCGAAAAATGTAAGAACTCTAATAAATTACGTGCCATTCGTGCAAACTATAAAAGAATGAATAGACCTAGTTCTGGTCTAAATGAAATTAATGAAATAGAACTAACGCCTTTTTGAGATTGCTTTTATACTCATCAGCTTTCAAATCCAATGACAAGATATAAATTCTATATTTGCTACAGATGGCACTGGTAGAAATATATTCAGATGTGTTATGTCAAAAGAAAGATTTGCAATATTTCTAAAATGTTTACGTTTTGATAACCTCTGGATAGAGAAGAAAGAAAAAAGATAGATCCAACAGCAGCCATTAGTAACATACTTAATATATTCATATCAAATTGTCAAAAACTGTTATTCCGTAGGCACATGTGTTTGTATTGATGAAATGTTGGTCGGCTTTAGGGGAAGGTGTAGGTTTAAAATGTATATGCCTAATAAGCCTGTGAAATATGGCAATCACGAAGAAGTTACTTATATAATGACTTATATAAAACTGTATTCCGTAGGCACATGTGTTTGTATTGATGAAATGTTGGTCGGCTTTAGGGGAAGGTGTAGGTTTAAAATGTATATGCCTAATAAGCCTGTGAAATATGGCATTCACGAA